CCTGACAGTACCCTCTATTCATTTTCCACAAGTCACCATTGTATGATTGGATCACAAGAATTGCTCTGCTGCAGGCATAACATGTGCCTAAAATAATCAAATTATTTATTTCCCTAGGAAATCTACTCATTGACTTGTTTGTGCAACCATAACAAAATGTTGTTTTTCTCCAAAGGTCGCAGAGCACACGATTGTCCGAGCAACTAAAACAAGCATCCATTGATGCTGTTAATGTTAAGTAGCGAGGAAGATGCAGGAAGAAGCAAATGAAATAGTGAAGTAGTGGCGGATGGGGATGTCTTTGGGAATCAAACGCCCTTATGACTATGTTTGTTTTCCTTCTCATTTTCAAATCAACCAAAAAATTGGGACAAAAATGTTTTCTTTTAGCCCTTAACAGACCTAAAGATAAGGTCGCAATCACCACCATCACATACAGTATGTCTACATGGGGGGAATGGCCTGCGGTAGAGGGCGATGAGTCATTCAGCTACGAGCATGTACATGTTAATTCTGACTGTGAATTAAGTGAAGACAATAACTTTTGTGGCATTTCTGTTAATTGAAAGTTGCAAGGCAGCGCTGCCTGAGAAAACTGACATCTGCCTTTGTGCAGTATGTATCCACTCGCTGTGTATCAAGGGCTTATATACCGAGGAGGTCCATGAGGACATGGTGGCTACACCAGGAGAGGAAATAGTCCACTGAATTCAAGTGAGGCAGACTCTCAGATCTGTAAGCTCCAGGACCACTGGAGATAAACGTGTGGAAACGTAGGAAGGGAGTATGTTTTCTAAAACAGACTCATGACCATGACTTATCAATCACAAATATTTTGATGACAGCTGTCATTAAAATTAGAAACTAAAAACATCTGTTTTGTTTATTAAAAAGTGGGGATAACAATATTCTGTCTCCAGTGGTGTAGCTTGGTCAGTTGACTCAAAATATAGCGCGGAGATAAATTATTATCAAATACCTAATAGAACACAACAGAAGTTGTCAAGAAGATCAAAATAAATGTAGATTATGTGAAAACATGTGTTGAGATACATTCCTCCTAAAACCGGTGGCAGCTTGAATTTTCAATAAATCTTGTGGTATTGTTCAACCCTCAGCTTCACTAAGCATGAGGCCATAAAGCGTCTCAGTGTGATAAAATCCAAGTGACGTGAATAGGTGAGTTTATCTAGATAATGAATGAAGCACATGAATGTTGAACAATAAAGACTGTTTACTCTGTGTGTTGTATTTAGTTTGTTAGATGTATTACCTTGAGTGTGATTGTCGGGGTCTTTACGGCCTTTTAAAGATGAAGCTACTCTGGATGCTGTAAAGAAAAAAACATCATAACATTGTTTTACAATGAGGCAGCAAATATAACGTCTAACACATAATTTGTGTTTTCCTGCTGATGCCATCAACCAGTGAAAACAGATTTTACTGTAAATTGGGACTTAATCCATTTTACATCCAGGTGGGTCAGTGAAAAATACAGCAAATACCATGAAACCCCAGTTTTGATATGGTTTTCTGACACAATCAGGTTAAACAATGGAAGTCACTTCATGTACTTACTCAGTTCTCTGTGTCTCCTCAGCTCAGTCTTCAGGTCAACAGAAGATCCAGTGAGGGAACGTCCTTGTTCACTGCTGCCCTCTACTGGCTAATTTTAACACAGGGTCAAGGAGAGAATGAGGAAACAAAAAAACTCCATCAATACAAAGGAAATAGAATGAGAACAAAAAAGGTAGCTAACTGTCTTGGAAATAAATGGACAAAGAAAAAAAAAAAGGTAGCCCTGCAAGAAGCCATTCAGAAAGGAAAAGTCATGTCAGAAGTGGATATTCAGTGTGTGATAATAAAAAACCACCATCTCTCAATCTGGAGATATGATGGAGACAAAGACATTTCCGCCTATTCTAAAGATTTAAGACCAAAGAAAAAGTCTCTCACCAATATTTCCTCCAGCTCTTTCCTGGCCCTGACGAATGCATCTGCGGATTGTTCCAGTTTAGATCGTAGGGAGTCCAGTCTGAATAAAGCCGAAGAGAGAGTGTGGTGATGTTACGATCACACATTCAGGAGTATCCAGATTATACAGACAGTAAGTGATACTAGAATTACTACATGGCTGGTTGACAGTAAATCTAAACTGTTCAGAATTGTTAATACTGGACATTTATATAGTGGCTGTTTTGATGTATATCAGTGATTTGAAGGATGATAAATTGATGGGCCTAGACAAATACTGAAGGGACTGACAACCACACAGAAAGGTAGGTACCAGTTCAAGTTCGATAGAGCATTAGATAAAGCAGCCAACAACTACTGTTCAATAGCTTATTTTGCACACATTGTATATGTGAACTGCTGGTATATGTAAATGAAAAAAAACAATAAAAAGATTTATAAAAAAAGAAAAGAAAGGTAGGTACACAAAAGGGTACATTCAAACAGTGAATTTCTCTGATCCTAAATACTGCATATAACTCAACCATTAACTACCTGAACTACCTTAGATGTAAAGTAGAGATTCATTTATTATTTATATGTTTGTGTGATTTTACTGTTTGTACAACTGCGGCTCTTTTTAGTCAAGCTGTTTTGGATTGCCTCCAAATACAATTAAATTTATGTTCGGAACTTCAATAAATTAAAACACTGCACCCAAGTGACCCTAATATGACATGACCAAGTGAGTGTAATGAATGTACTGTAAACCGAGCCGATGTAACGTATTAGTGACAGCGCTATGAAATTAAAAACTAATGCTTGTCTTGATGGATGGGCCTGACACCAAATGTCTGCCTGGGCTAAGGAAATGGTTCTTGTGTTAAGTGACTCTTATACAACTATTTTTAGTGCTATGTAAATCACTGATAATTTGGCCAGTGATGGATCTCCATCATTTCATGTCTCCTGTCATTAAAGTCTGATACGTCATTATGACCATCAGGAAAGTGTAGCAATTGAAGTATAGCAACTCAAAGGGGAGTTGACTTTAACCTTTTAAATCTGTGTTTTGCTTTGACTCCTTTTCACAATTAATAGTGACAAAACTCAACACAAGAATAAATAAATAGCACAAAATACAAGAAATGCAAAATCTGTAACATAAATACTCACTTTTCCAATTCTGACAGAGGGACGTCTTCTTTTGCAGAGACTTTGGTCTTGCCTGTTAATGAAGCACCACATCTTTAATAATATAATCTAGAGTACACCAACATACTATATATACAAATGATTGTTTCTTGGTTTGACAACAGAACTATTCAATCCTTGACTCTTTACTCTGAAATGCAGATCATGGACAGATTTCCAAGGATAGACTGATCAGCATATAATTTATTCATCTGGCAGTACATTATTGCATTCATCTTAAAAGTGGAATTTCTTAAAGGAGAAAGAATATTGGATATATAAATATTAAGTCTACGTTTATTTTTTTATCTTTACTTATAATACACAGAATGAGGTCACTAAGCACAAATTAAATTTTTCAATAATCCCGTGCCTCACATTCACATATTCAGTTCATAGCTGTGAGTCTTTAACAGTTGTCTTATTCTGCCCTAATGATAAGCTCCAGTTCAAGGAAATGATCTGCTCCCTCTCACTTTAAGGCGTCCGCAGCCTCATAAATGTTGAAATGTGTCTTGAAAAATGTTGCTGAGGACAAAGCTACAAATAAGTTCTGCCCAGCAGGTATTGGGGTGTTAGGCAGTCCACACTGCGCTTCTATGAGACATATTTTGTTATTTGGTACAAGCGGACATCTCTTCAGGGATCTCAATGGGAATCTATCAACCCACCTGCTTGAGAACTTGCAGCCGCAGTCAGAGTTTTGATGTTTCTTGCAGGCACTGGGATCTTAGAAGCCAGATGCTATTCAGGAGAGTGAAAAGACAAACTAGACTGAAACATGATACGATATTCAAACATTTTAAACACAGACAACCATGATCTTACATTCAAAACAGTTAAATCATTCTTTAAATAAGAAATGAGAGGAGGTGATGTCACCTGAAAGACTATTTACTTACATTATGGGTGTTGTCCATGTTCAGAGTTTTACTCACACTGTTTGAAAAAAAAGAGCAAGATTTAATTTATATAATAAGAGATCTAAGCAATTACTGGTTATCTGAATCTTTAATAGACAACATCCCAGTGTCCCAGAAATAATTCAATGCAACATAAAAGACAATAGCGAAGTACATATACACTGCAGTAGTACTTGATCAATAGACACTATGCAGCAAATGGCCCAGTTTGAGTACCTCATGTATTATAACATATCTCTCACCTCGGTTTAAAGGCGTAAAAGCAAAATACAGCAATTTCATTGGGGACATAACAAAACACGCAGTATTCAGTCCACGTGCAAACATCACGACCTCTTTAAAAAGCTGGACATTAACTAGCAGAGGTCACAAAAAACGTAACTAATGTCATTAGATGAATTTACGTGGACTGAATTGATGCGATGTGTAAAACCTGTGTTTACCTTCATGGCAGCTGGGAGAAATATCTACTGTTTAAGTATTTCTGAGGTAAACTCGAGTTAAAATCGAGTTCGGTGCGATACGTTTTGAATTAACACTAATATTATGTTATATTGACGACAAGGCTTCACATTTAAAGGATACAGTAAAGTACTCACGGCATTTTCGACTTTCAGTTCGTCTCCGTAAAAAGTTTTTCACAAATGTAAGTGATGAAACTGGCGCCGTTGCGTCAGTCAAATGGTTCGTGTGAAACACGAGCGGTCATATATATATGATTCCGCCACCCTCTGTTTTATAGCATTTACTCGAGAAAAAGCACCGAATATTCTGAAAATGGAATCAAAACTCTTTTCAGATAGTTTTTGGTGATAACAGGTGAAACAATAATTAGAAATAATCATATTATTTGTAAATAGCAACGAGAACGGTGAGCGTTTGTTTCTTCAGGGACGTATTTCGGTGAACACCTCTGACTTTTTTGTTTACGTAGCAACAGGCAGCGCATAGCAACGGTGCTGGACAGATGGCTCTGCTGACGCGGATTTCATTCAGTCACATGTGTCCTGCGCGTTTCTGTGTCCCGCTGCATGTTAGATAATTACAATTAAAACCATTTAGCTTTAGCCACATCGTTTAATATCAAGTTAGCTGCCGCGTGCGACCGTCGTCTGCTGTCAGAGCTGCAGGGAGCTAGCTAGCGGAGCTACACTCTGTCAGAAGATGTCTGGTCAAGAGTCACATCGGGATGAAGATGAGGATTTCTACATGAAGTGCAGAGCCTCGTACCTCGCGGTGTTCAGGTCCAGTTTGTCAAACATCACGTCCAAGCAGCTGTTATGTCGCGGTAAGCCAACTTTACACTACTTCCATGGCTTGTTAGCTAGCTACTAGCGAATATAGTTGTGATTGATTTGATTTCCGTCCTAAATCTATAAACTTTGGTGTAATAAACTGGGTCTGATATTTAGCTAGCTACTACTGTGTTTATGAAGCTTTATTCTGAAGGATCTGATTATATAAAGTCTTTTTGTTCTCCTCTTCAGTCACTGGCTGTGTATTGACATCAATTTCCAGTTATTTAGAGGAGAAATATTTAATTTGGTCTTGTGTGGTTTCACTCTTTCAACTCCTAACCCCACACTGACCTGCTGATCAATCGTCACTACAAATCCATGATGTTTAATCAGTTTCAATGAGCCTGTTGTAGTGATCCCAGTTATCAAAAATACCAGGAAATGTATGAATGATTTTAGGGGAATGTGCTAAAAAGGATGCAACATCCAGAATATTTCCGCCGGACAGACTTGAGTATTTAATCAGTTCAAGGTTTGTCAATGATGTCCCTCTTTAAAATTATAAAGCTTGAATAAAGAGCTGATCGAGAATAAATGTGACCTTTGCAGTAATCAGTATCAGATGTTACATGATTCGAAAAAGCAAATGTTTGAATAATAAACATAAGATTTAGAGGTCTAACAGAAAATAAACCTACTGTTGTTTATCCGCCTGTTTGACTAGTCTACGCTTTTCTCCATTTATCCCGTGTAGTTCTCCAGCAAGCAGGAAGAAATCCGTCCCTCGCCACTCTCAGTAAATACTGGACCCCAAGAACGTCTAAACTGAACTTTGATGACTTCTGTGAGATTCTCAAATGTGAGAAGAAAACTGAGGAAACTGAGTTGATGAGAGCGTTCAAAAAGATGGATGTTAACAGCGATGGCTACATCACACACAGTGAACTGGAAAAGGCCCTTACCACTGTGAGTAGCTTAAAACATACTGTATAAGAGAGATCTTCAACAAATTGTCAACAAATTGTTTTAAATGAATGTTGCAGTTTTGGCCACAGTTAAATTGACTGATGTTGTGCGATCAGCCAACTGAGCGACCCATTAATGTTTTATTACAGACTGAGTGAACATAAAATGATTAAAATCACAGTTACTGGCTCAAGCTCAAACAAAATAGAATCATTTTTATTGTGGTGCTTTCACTACTGAAGAAAATATGTTTAATCTTTCAGAGAGGAGAGAAAATGACGACTGAGGAAGTGAAAACCATTTTCACATTAGCTGACATCAACAAGGACGGCAAACTAAACTATGAAGAAGTAAGTTTGGACAATGAAACATGTAGTTTAAATATTTCTTATTTAAACTGATTTGAGGCTAATATCCTAAGTAGTGATTGGCCAAAAATTATGCCAACAATAGCAATGTGATTGAATTTGAAGTCTCCTAACCTTATTCTCACCACAGTTAGAATAAAAATACATTTTATAGTGTTTCATTCATTCAAAGTTTTATTTTTTTTAAAGTTGAATTGATTCACATACTGAAAATGTATATTGTGCAAAAGAAAACAATGGTGTAGCCCTCCCATGATTTGTCTTTATTCAGTGTCATATTCTTACCTCTGTGCATGTGACACTACCTCAAAACTGTGCTCATGCATCATCTTTTGACTCATGGTTTCCCGTTGCTGTCAGTTCTGCAGATTGCTCGTGTCTACGGCAGAACAATGTCAGGTGGCAGCTTTGGAGAGGCTTGAGGCTGATGCTAAGCTGAAGATACAGAACTTTGGCAGTCAGTCATACAGCCCTCCAAAGAGCGCCGTGTCATCAGCCTCATCAGCTGCAGCAGCACCAGTGGCAGCAACTCACCCTCAGCCTCCAGAAACATCAGACGCGACACTCAGAAAAGGTACAATCTGAGACTTCCCAGAAGATTTAAACATAGAGTATAAAGTAGACTGACTTTGAATTTTGTGAATATATATATATATACTCCACACTTTTTATAGATGCACACCGGTTGCCCCAATACGCCTCACAGATTAGTTTTGCTGAATAAATAATAGCTCTGTTATCGATTGATTTTTCACTCCCTCTATGACAAATAGCCTCATTAAGACAGACAATACATCACAATAATTACACAATTAAAACAGTTTGTTCGGAGGGAGGAGACTGTAAAGCGTTGTGATTTTGGCCGATCGTTTCTGCCATAAAGAAATTGGCAAAATCTCTGTCTACACTGATGAAAAATGAAGCCTCTCAGCTCTGGATTTGGAGCAAAATGATATGTTTTTGTAGCCAAAACAAGCAAAGACTTGTTTCAAGTCCAACTGCAGCCTTCTGCTACCACAGACAACAAACAGGCAGGTTTTTCTGTAAAAGATGGCACCTTCGGCCATTTGAAGATGAGTGTAAAAATCTACACACTTTAACAACAGCATTGTGAGGAAAGAGAGGCACAGAGATCCTGGATGAGCGGTCCAGGGACAGGCCCACAGTGGGAAGATAGATGGGGTTGATTTAAGTGGTCAGTCCATGTTCATGCTATTGATTTGGAGGATTCCACCACTTCTCACTGGGGAGATGATGAGGGATTAGATGGTGGTAGAGAGGAGGGCCCCGTCGACCACCGCTGCAAAAACAAATGAGCTCCCACATACTAGTCAGGATTATCACATTATTGTGCCTCTCCCAGGTATTGATTTATACCTCTTACATTTTAACAAGGCTCTGACACCAGGAGCTACGTGATCGCACATGTTGAATGGGTTTTTCTTGGAGCTCAAAAACAGTTTTGACTGCTCATTTGCTCTTACATTTGTCAGTATAAACCAGTATTTCCCTCAGTACTACAGTATAACTGTATTTGACAGGGGCAATTCTGGCTGGTTTTTCACAAAGAATTGATGACATTAAATTATTTATTAGGTGTTTTTGTGTGTAACAGACAAATTGATGAACTGCCGTGGTGTTTTCTGATAATTGGTTTATTTAGTTCAGTTCTTGTAGTTTTCCAGCACCAGGGAACCACAAACAACTCTCGCATTCAATATGGGCTCACAGTGCAGCTTTTGTTAGGCCACGTTCCAGTGCATCTTTGTCCATATTCACAACAAGCTACGATTCGGGCCTCCAGATTAAAATACCCCCATCAATACAAAATAGATCTGTGACAAATACCATGACAGTGGGTCTATTTATTCTCTGCCACGGTAATTTGCTTGTAAGCCCATCACATTACTTCGCATCTTGATTTCCCTGCCTTGGAAACAATCAGAGCCCTCATTAGTGAATTGATATTTTCTGGCTTCAATTAGTGTTCAAGATAAAAAGTTGTGCGAGATAATGGATTTGAGAGGGTTCTGTTATGCCATTTGTGAATTAATATGCCTCCATCATTAATGGAAATGAGCTTGATTTGGAGATTTACACATTTGTAGAACCCAAATGCAAAGTAGCCATCTTCATTTGAACTTGTGAACGGACTTCTGGGAAAGCAGATTACATTCTGGGCCACATGTCTCTTATGAAAGTGTGTTTATGTGGAGCAGAAAGGGCTGTACATAATCTGTAAGTAAAATTTTGTATTGGTAATTTTGTAATAAAAAAAAAAGTACATCTATTTTGGGTATATTTTATTTCAGACAGCAGATCGTCCTCTCGTCCTTCCTCTGCTCGCAGCAGACGGTCGTCTCTGGCGAACTCAATCAATATGACATCCAGCAGCACCAAGTCCAGCAAAGTACCAGAGCCTGCAGGCTTACAGGTAAACTCTAGGCATTACGTATGGTAGAATCATAATGATTTACTTTAAGAGATTTTTACATTATCACCAAGGGAGTTAGGTTTTCATCTGCTTTTATAGTTACAGGATTCTGAAAAAAATTTCAATTTCCATGAAATTTTGGGGTTTGCCTCAAAGAACCTCTGATTCAATTTTGGAGGGGATCTGGAGAAAAGTCTTTTTTTTTGTTGGTGTTTGCATTGGCAGAGGTGTGCACGAGAGCCGTTCTAGTTTCAATACCCAACCAGATGTGTAGATATAAACTTATATTAATAAATGTTTTTTCAAATGAAAATGTCATATTATTAAACATTTATACCATCAATAACAAACCCATGTGAGATGCCTCATGATAACAAAGCCCCTGCAGGCCCGCGGTTCTCCCCGGCATCACTGTCACACAGTATTCAATAGATACACACTGTATTGATCCATCGCTCTTTGTTTTCAGTCTTTTTGGCTTAACCTGGCCTGGTTTGCTTTACAGCAAAGGAAAAAAAAGTCAATAAATAAATAAACCAAAAAAATGACAGCCTCCTTCATCTCTCAGGTCCATACAAGGCGTTGAGATTGGAAAGGGCCAGACATCGTCTAGGTAGAAGAATGTGAGTCCAGAGATTACCTCTGAGGGAAGTTCAGCTCACTATATTGGCTGCTATACTGCCACAGGCTGATAATTGGGAGGTAGTGGGTGGGGGGTAGGTTGTGTTTTTGTAGTGGTGTATGTGTGTATTCGCCTGTGCGCTTTGTGGGATGCAAATGTGCACAGAAAGGATTAATCTGACTTGTCCTCAGTGTTTATGTGAAGGTTATAATTATAAGATACAGCAGATTAAATGTGTGTAGATGAGTGTGTGTATGTGTGTGTGCGGCTGGTCTGGTGTCCCGCAACCCTCCGCGTTGCTGTAATTCAGACCCTTGGCCAAAGCAGGTGACAGCAGCTGTATTAGTCTGCAGGCTGACCCTCTCTCTGCGGGGGCATTAATTCTGATGTCTTTAAGCAGTAGACAGGTGCCCATGGCAATTTCCTTCATTTAATATTGTCTGGACAAACCACTGAAGTGTTATGATTTGATCTTTTATGCCTCTCACACCCCAAAATAAATACAACGAGAAAATGGCTTTTCTCCGTAGGAGTGACATGCGCCGTCTTTATGGTACTTTTCTTTGTTTAACTTGGTGATTTATTTGTCCACTAAAAGGATATATGGCCTATTCCAGACTCGCTCGACCCTCAATGTCCTCTTACCGTGTGTCCACACCAACTGTGTTTTCATTTAATGTGTCTCCAATGAACGGAAGGAAAACTTGCCTTGTTTTGATGTTCCTGTTCAATTTGAAATTATTATGTCGTTTCAGTTGTGCTGCCAGACAAAGGAACAACAGGATTTCAAAATGAGAGAAATATTAGGATTCATAAATATCGCCAAAGTAGCCTCTTGATGGTTTTGAATGAGCCCTGGCCCAAGATTGAAAGGGCTGAATTTATCAAAGTTAAATGGACTCCTATTTGTCCTATCAGGAACTAGAGGGAGATTTAGTTCGGCCTGCAGCAGAAACACAGTGCAACACTTCTGCCCTCCTCTGGACCAGCACGAGAATAACAAGTGTTTACACGCTGCTGAGCCCACACACACACTGTGGAATAATGAATGTGCCCCCTGAAGGTTGGAGTGGTAATTATCACAACGGCAGTTTCTTTTAATCAAGTGAGCAACTTCACTGTTATGATTGACTGCTTAATTCTCTTTTTCATGCCAAAGTATACTTCCCCTGTCCCAAGATCAATCCCTCTTTTAATAGGAACTGCAAATTAGTTTTGGTTTCTGTTGAATGAATAAATGCATTTTGTTGTCAAGTAGCGAAACTGTTTGTTGGGATTGTGTCAGGATTTTAACAGAGGCCACACATCATCGAATAAATGAGGATATACAAAACATGAAATACCATATTTTTTTATTTGAACTAGGATTTGATATTTTTCGGCTTTATTAGCCAGACTAAGTTTGCGTGATTATTGGAAGTCTGCCGGTTAAGCACAAATATTGTCCATTGTTGCAGGAGTGGCATCACAGTCATATGAAAGGATGTTTCTTCTTGGAGGATGACGGGAGTATCGGCTCTCTGCAGTACCAGCTCCACATCCCGCAGACAACCAACGTCTACCTGACCATCCAACCACAAAGCCTCGGCCACAGACCCGGTATTCACAATGTTTTCACGTGACACACAAATAAAAACACTAAAACATAAATACAGTGTTGCCACTGTAATTATCAGATTATGAATCATAAACCAAAAAAGACCACACAGAAGCCTGCCGTTGTTTATTGGCCCCTGCAGGGTATTTTACATCGTGTGGCAGCAGATCAGGTTCTGTAGGAAACGTGCTAGATTGTGTTCCAGCTGAGTGGACGATATTTTATGAGAATCATTAAGAAGGTGTAGTTCTGTTTATTAAATTGGAACGTGCTGTGGAAGATACTGAAATGGTTTAGATGTAGAAGGTTAATCCTCCTGTTTATGTTTTGAAAAAGCCAAAGTGAAAATGTTTTCGTAGAATACCCAATATGTTCGTAATGACAGGAGAAAACAATTCTGTATTTAAATTCAAACATCACGATTAAGCTACTCAGTTAATATATGATATTATATGTTTATTTAAAGGGTAGTGTTACACTGAGTGTGTAGTTTGGTTGTTGCTCAGTCTAGTTGACTTGAATATAAAGTAATAGAAGTTACAAGGACAAACCACAAACAAATAGTTAAATTATAATGTTGTTTATAATAGGCCACAGAAGCATATTCAATGACAAAATATGTAAATGTTTGTTTGATTCATCCTCTCCATTTTTGTTTTGTTCAAGTATTTATATTTTGACAATTTAAGAGAGAAAAGTTTTGTCATAACCCACAAAAACAATGTTTGATCAAAATCTTACTTACTTTACATATTTCTGTTCATCATGTTACATTTCAGACAAGTCTCCTCCCTGGATGACGGTGGATACTGTTCTTTTTATAATGTCAGCTGGTGAAACCAAAGAAGACTCAACTGTAGTGCATTTCACTGAGTCAAAAGACAAAGAGGTATATCAGGTTTGTTTGTGTTGAAACGTACATGTACTCTATTTCTTTATATTCACTATTACATATATCCTTTTCCTCTCGTTTTGATCCTGCAGAAGTACATTTGGAAAGGAGAACTGAATACTGGGACGTACTACCTGCTTCCCTTCACCAGCGGCTGCAGACTAAAGAAAAGGATCAAAAAGAACCTTTCTGACAAACCTGTGGAGCTCGTCTCCAGGACCGACTCTGGAGAGCTAGACCTCACCCTGGAGCTCAGGTTTGTGTGTGTGTGTCTGCATGTACGTGTGTGTGTACAGCTATGCAGCGTTCCACCTGTCCAAGCTTGTGTGGTTTCTCCCTCTGAACTGACTTCATACTGTGTTAATGCACCAGCGATAAAGACAAAGAACTTCCTTGTTACTAAAGTACAGTTTAACCCTTTCATCAACACAGGATCTTTTATAGAGCCACTCATATGTGCTGATGTTAGAAGTTTGATATATTCTAAAAAGTTCCACTTTAATCTTGAAGTTTCTAGTTTATTGTGGAAAAAATGTTTATCATGTCTGATCCTAACACTCTACTGTGAATATAAAAAACACATTTTGAACAAAAACATCATCAGAAAAATGCCATAGCTTTGGCATGAAAGAAGAAACCTGTGGTTGTTGTTCGCTTGTGAATACTGGATGAGTGCTTTTGATGCCTTGCTTGCCATGTTGCTACTGCGATAGTGAGAAGGTCCCTGCTTGACATTTTTTCAGTGTTGTTCCCTTTGTGCCACAGGGAGGCGCTGTCTGACATCTTTGAGGTTATAGACCTGGATGGAAACGGTTTGCTCAGTCTGGAGGAGTACAATTTCTTTGAGCTCAGGACCAGTGGAGAGAAATGTGACAAGGAGGCCTGGGCTGTCTGCAAAGGTAATTCTCAAGGTTCTAATTCACAGGAATACATAGAGAAACATTATGAAACCGCATAAGAAGTCAACCAAAGATTAATATTATTTCATGTTTTTTTTGGGGGGGGGCAGAAAACTTTGACATGAGAAACAATCAACTGACACGGCAGGGCTTCATGGAGCTGAACCTGATGGAGGCCACAGAGAAAGATGGAGACCCCGCTGACTTGTGGGTCATCCTGGAAGCCATGGGCTACAACCGCACACTGGAGCTAGTAGAGGTTAATATGATTTCACTCAAAACAATGTCACATGATGTTATTCTACCCAACCATACAACCACCTTATCCCACTCACAAACTGAGCGAACGCCTCCTCCTCCCTCTCCATCAGGCTTGTCCTTTCCAGATAGATGTCCATTGTGAAGACATGCCGCTGTCTCTCCAGACAATCAGTATGGACACAGGGCCCAAGCTTCTGAACCAGGCCCTCCACAAGTCCATCATAGCCAGGACAGGGGCCAAAGCACTGAGGGGACAAGATAATGTTTTTATCTACACCTACCGAGGAGAGCACAGGATCTCCTCACTCATAGTTAACAAGGTCAGTGACCATCTGTGTGTCTGACTCCGAGATTTATCTGGAATTAAGGTACACAAGGACCATTGATGTGAAGGTGCTCACACAGTTTAGCAATACTGGAAACGGATGTTCCTTTTTCACTGTGATCATCCAGTGGCTGTGCATCTACATGGGCAGTACTGAGATGATAGTTACTGTGATTTTTTAAGTGATTGTAAAATGTTGTATTTACTTTGGTATTGATCAGGGCACAGAGCATCAGGGGGTTTACAAAGAAATGCCAAAGCTTGCACATTCTGTCTCATTACAGTCCACTGCTGTTGGTGTGTGCTTGCAAGAGACCATACAACCTATTTGTAATTGATATGCAGTGGTGGTATCTGTTCTCATAGCAACAGGAGCTACTCTAAAAGAATGACCCAGTGATACAAAACAACCTCTTAACAGGGGAAAGTTCACCTGGTTATCATGAGAGTGTTTGTTTCAGAGTCATCATTCATTTTATTTTGTATTTACACATTGTCTTTTGATTCAACTACACAAACTCTACTGCTTTGGAGAGTACTTGTCTTGGACGTAACACTGTCTTGAAGACGGTATGGATCCACATTACTATGTTCAAATGGTACATAAAAATGTAGCTGTGCTTAGATTAGCACAGGTTCCATTACCTTGTTTTTGACAGTAAAAAGAAAAGAGGCTATTTGTTTTCTTCCATCATAGATTCTCATTTATTTACCTTTCTTCTATATGTTTAGCTGTTGAAACTGATTTCTTCATATTGTCTGATCTCAAGAATTAAAGTTGACCCTTTGTGTTGCAGACCAACCAGAAAGTGACTGTGCACATAAACAATGAGCAGAGCAGGAACTGCAGCAGCAGCAGAGGCATGAGTGTGTTTGCTGTGGAGGTGCCAGCCCGGACCAAGATGGTACAAAGTTTTTCCTTTTGCTCTTTCAAAATCAGAAAAATAATTTTAGGGACATACATATGACGGTAGAAGATAATTAAATGATTAAATGGTGTTTTAGATGTTAATACATACATGTGTGTCCTGTCTTCTAGGTTTGCCAACACATTCTACCCATCAGTGACAAACAGGACTGGACCTATAATTGTGTGGAGACTATACTAACCTGCACATGAATATCTACTGCTATGAAAGATTTAAATCTCAACTGTGCCACTGCTACAGAAAAGTGATCGACCAGAAATGATTAATGGACCAGTGCTTTTAAATATGGTCAATAGATTCTTCTATATCCACTGGCAATATAAAAAACATTGTTAATGGTTGGACTAAAAGATTGTTATCCTTTCACTAAGAGCAGAGACGTTTGATCAGACCCGCCAGCAGCTCAGTGGTGCTTTGCTTCAGTTGTTAAACACTGATGGTCACAGTTCAAATAAGACTGACAATGGTTAATGCTGCTTTTGTGCCTTTGTATGTGTGACATATTGTGTTAAGGTAGAGGATTTCAAAATTCCCTTTAGATTGATTAACATAAAGGCCAAAGGGTAACATGTCCACATGGCTCTTTTATTCATGATTTATCATTTAAAATAAATAATCTTGTCATGACACACTCAAATCATATAAGATGAGATCAGATCATATAAGATGCTGTGCTGTTACTTTATTATATACTGTCCTGAGTATACAAGCAGTTTTAAACAAGTTTTTCCATCACAACTTTATTAAATCTAACATTCAGATTTTGTTGCTACTTTTTCATGTCTCTTGTACTTTTATATATTTTAAATTGAAAGACATTTTAAGATTATGTCACTTCTCACAACATTACTATCTAAAGCTGGTCGTAACGTGGAGGTAGCACAGCTTCACATTATTATTAAATAAAATTAGACGTAAAAAGTTTGTTCATGAAGTCTGTGTTACTCTGTAGCTATCGGCCACCACAGTCCATGCTCTTAATGCTGTTTGAGGCTGTGAGGATCTAGTGTTGGCCATGAAATGCATTCCTCTGCATTGCAGCCAGGTCTAAACTTTATTTGCCCTTTGCAGCTGAGAACAGTCTTGACCTCCTATTTATATCTCGCTGGTCATTATTTGCCCTTTGACTTTCTCTGCTGAAACAGTAGAGCCAGTGAACTAAATGTCACATGGCATGTGAGATGAACAGTATTTAATGTCTCGAGCCCCTGTCTGCTCTTCCTTTCCGAGCACAGAGGTTTAGTGACACTCGACTGCTCAGGGTATAGTTGGGTTTCAGGAGTTGTGAGCCAAACTGGACAGTTACAGCACTGGACTGCTGCTTTGCACTGTGATTTAAACTCATCATTTTTTTATTTGTAGTTATAAGAAAAGTTTAATTTTAAGTTTTAGAACTTTGAGTTTACAGTGCTTTGTGTTACATGATTTTCTCCAAAATTTAAAATCATACAATGCAATACAGTTAATATGTCTTTAAAACAACAGTGTACATGCAGATAGGGATCTAATAACCTGCCAACAATATGTAGGTGTAAGTAATCCTAAACCTACATTATAAACATACACATGCTGTATCTATCCCGGTCTCCACACTCATTCACACGCCACATTGTCATGATGGCAGGTCTGACTTTAAACTTTGTTCTGCTGTGATCAAACACACTGTGGTGCAACAGGAAAACAGCAGCGACTCTGAGTCTATTTCACAACATGACTCCAGTGAAATAGACCCTTTTACACAAATATAGGCTTCTCTTTAAATATCTCCCTTTTTTTATTTTTGGTAAATTGCATTGACAAATTAGAGAGTTTATTAATTTACTCTTCAGATTTTTCTTTACTGTGTCAAAGTTTGGGACAGAATCCTTGGAGTCATTGACCCTCCTGTGTGTGTGTCTTGAACTTAAAGGTACAAAGGTCTGTTGAAGCAGGAATTATCCACCTGCATGTCTACATAGAATATAAGGCTGTGATGTTGTTTACCACAGTTGGTTGTAAGGGCCTGGCTCAAGGGCACTAAAGCAGGGTGGCTAAATGCTGAGCTTAATTGTCTATTTTGGTGGATGTTGCACTTTTCTCTCTTCTTTATTTATTTATTCTGTTTTTTGGGAGTTTTTTGGGAGGACCTCACATTCAACAGATTAAAATGTACACATGTTGGGCATTTTCTATTGTTAATGAAGTATTTAGATATCCACAATTATACATTTTTGAGTTTCAAGCGTAAATAGTGTTCATTACAGCCATATCCAAAACAAGTGAAGTAAATGGCAACCACTTATTCTTTGCCCCTCGACATTCAAATCTACTCATAACGAGGTCATTTACACCATTACACCAAATCCACTGTTGTCCTCCTACTGGCGACCACTTCTTCAAATGTAAAAAAAAAAGAAGAAGAATAAACTGCAGTTCCCGAGTGTTCTCGCAGAATACCATTTACTTCAATCATATTTGATTTGGCTGCAACAGTTTACCCCTGAAACTCCAGAAGTGTTTTGTGGACTCAAACACTTCACCCACCCCTCCATCGGCAGAGCGGTGGGTTGATAATGAGTTCATTTTCATTTTCGGGTGAACTATCCCTATAACATCCTAAAGTGAGACCTGCTGCTTGGACTCTGCAGGTGAGAGATGGCACCTTTCCGGGCTCTCAAGTGGGCACCCTCTCTCCTCAGCGTTTCCACATTTTGTCCATGATGTCTTTTATGAAATCCGTCTTTAGAAAATAAATTCTCAGAAAAAACATTTCTGTTTAAAATGATGTGAGGGTTGTGGTGGGTTACTGGGTAGGGGGGCACTCAAAACCTCAGTACCTCTAAATCCTGGCTACGGCCCTGAGCAGCATTATGTCCCCTCAGTGCAGGACCTTTATTTCTCAGATATACTTCATGTGTTCTTTATAATGTTAAAACAAGGAGCAGAAGTTAATGCATTAACTGTAATGTGACTACCACAGACTGCACATGAGGAGAAGTGAACCCATGTGGTTGAATGTTGATCCTACACTTGCCCTTTAAACCGAGGGGGCGGGTCCTCCGCCGCCGCCTCCTCCGCCTCCTCGTCGGCCCGGAGCTCCGCGGTTCGCACGGGGGGAGTCTGACCGACAGAGGTGCTCACTGTGCGGAGGAGGGGTCGCGGGTCAACATGGTGAAAATAACGACGGTGAAGACCAAGCCGTACGCGGACCAGAAGCCCGGGACGAGCGGCCTGAGGAAGCGGGTGACCGTGTTCCAGCAGAACCAGCACTATGCGGAGAACTTCATCCAGAGCACCATCTCCGTCATCGAGCCCGCCGAGCGCCAGGCGGCCGCCCTGGTGGTGGGAGGGGACGGCCGCTTCTTCATGAAAGAAGCGATTCAGCTCATCGTCCAGATCGCTGCTGCCAACGGGGTCAGTCCGCGGGGGGAACACCGTCCGGCTCCGGCTGACGTGACGCTGGGAGTTAGCTCAAAAACAAACATAACTTGTAGCTAGCAAGTTAACATTCAATTCATTCATTCATTCATTCCAGAGCATCGCTTCTCATTAAAATGTTAATTATACGTTTTTACACATTAACGACACTTGAAACAAAACTAGCTCGAACCAGACTTTGACGCTGGTAACGGTACAGTGAAGTTAGCTTCTCACATGACACGTTGTCATTGAGTTATTAGCGTGTTTTTACTTTGCACAGACAGTGACTTCCAGCTAGCAAGTGAACATCAAGCTAACTGTCAAATTACACTGGAAACATCACATCTGGAGGCTAATAGCATGAAGCTACCTGAGCCTGCACATATACGATTATGAGTGCAACCTGTTAGTTAGCTTGATGTTCACTTGCCAGCTGGAAGTCAAGTCATATCTGGTGATTAATGCTAACGTCAATGTGACATGTTGTGGAGAAAACACTCAATTAACTCAACAGTGATGTGTCACAAAAGAAGCTAACCGAAGCTGTGACGTTATCAGTGTTCGAGCTAGTGTTCCTCAAAGTGTTGTCCCGGTATAAGGACGTATATTCAACACTTTAACGCTGAATGATGCAGTGAAGTGAAGCCTCCCTCCTTCCTGTTGTTTCATAGAGAACCAGTGCTGGAGCGAACATGTCATCCCTGCCTCTACATGTTATTATCTGAGATCAGATGTTGTGCAAGATCTAAGTCTGTGCTGGTTTTCAGGAGGTGTGCAGCAGTTGCAGTGTTTAAATGACGTATTATCGTCATATGTGGGTTTTCCTGCACAGTCTCCAGTCTCAGATTGACCACAGTGACCTTTTGGATAAAGTGCACAAAGAGGTGGGGGGGGGGGGGGGTCACTTGCATGTCAAACCTTTACCTTTGACATTTAAACACTGGCCAATGACACCACCACATCTGAGCTGCAGCCTTAAAGGTTGAAACCTGCTTCTGGATTTCAATATAATCAAAATAGTTTTGCACAATTGCACAAATGGGCAAACTTGTGTTTTAATCGTGCAAAAGGAAGCAGGGAAGCCTGACGTTGTGTTGTTTCGTAATAGCTGCAGTGAGATGCCACTGGCTGCTCAGAGGACATCAGTGGAGAGGGGATGGGGAGGGGGTGTGTCAAGCAACGTGCAGCCAGTCACGTTCCCCTGCATATGTCTGTAGCAGAAGCTGCACCGGCAAATGAATGAATGGAACATACAGTACGTTTCTTAAATATGAAATCAGCCGATGGAGTAATGTTAAAATGCCCCATTTAAAATTGCGAGCAAAAAAAAAAAAAAAAAATGTTTGCTGCATCTGTGACCTTGTTACTGCGCAGACAGCAGCTAATGGTTATGCAGGGTTCCTCACTGATGTCAGTGAGTTCAAGCTGCTCAAAGCTTTTGGATATTTTTTGCAGTCTCTCCATGAGTGTCTGTTGTTGTGAAATGAAGCAGTGAGGAAACCGTTTCATTGCCACACGTACACATACAGAGGCGTCGCTGTTAATGTTTGCACAAAGCAAACTGTTGCATGTTTAAAAAAGGTTGGTTACTGGACAGAGGTAGATTTATATGATATTCCTGCAGCAGTTTAAACGACTTGCATTACATCCAAGAAAAATCTAAATGTAATTTATATTTTTGAATTCTTCCAAAGTTACCAGTTTTAGTTTCTTGCCACAGATTTAAGCGCTCTCTATGTCCTCTGTCTCTTCCCGTTATCCCTGAGTCCATTATGTTAGGTTAAGTGCAGTGTTGTCCCCACATGATTTGTTTCAAGGTCTCCATTGTTCTTCTTGTCACTGAGGAAAGATCTTTAAGATTCTGGCCGTATAGTTTCAGTCATTATCATGCTTCAGAAAACATTTTGGACAAATCCTGGTACCTTCTTGATGGCGTTGTTTGCAGTGACTGTATCTTAGCTTTCTATCTTCACCCTACTAATGTAACTGTTACTGTTGTGGATTAACCTGTTCTCATGCCTCCCCCTATTTTTCCTTTAGTCTGTGAATACACTAACTTATGTTCCAACCTGCAGATTAATCGTCTGGTGATTGGTCAGAATGGCATCATGTCCACTCCAGCAGTCTCCTGCGTGATTCGCAAGATCAAGGCAGTTGGTGGCATCATCCTCACAGCCAGCCACAACCCAGGTGGCCCCAATGGAGACTTTGGCATCAAGTACAACATCTCCAGTGGAGGTGAGCCGTGACTACTTTATGCTTCCAGTTGTCACAGAAGCTCACAGACCTAAGCTTCCTACTCGGGTGAAGAGAAATGTGATTGGAGTCAATACTTTTCGACTTCAGCACAATATCGCACTGT